CCCCCCCCAGGGCCACCCTGATCTGCGCCTGGGCCGAGAAGGGGGCCGACGCCGTGGGGCCCGACGGGGAGCTGGTGCACTCGGACGCCTTCCCCCCCGAGACCCTCGTGGACACGCTGGGGGCCGGGGACACCTTCAACGCCGCCGTCATCTTCGCGCTCGCAGAAGGTGGGCACGGGCGCGGCTCCGGGCACGGCGTGGCCACGGCTCGGCCAGGCACAGCCACGGCACAGCCGCGCTGCAGACACGGAGCGGCCACGTCTCATCCTGGGCCCCGTCCCCAGGGAGGACCCTGCAGGACGCCCTCACCTTCGGCTGCCGGATCGCAGGCAGGAAATGTGGGATCCAGGGCTTCGATGGCATCGTCTGAGCCTGTGCCCGGAGACCCCCCTCACCGCCCAGGAGCACCACGGATCCACTGCACGCAGCACCTCCCCCAATAAAGCGCCACGTGCCCCACGACAGCTATGCCCCCCCACCCTGGCCAGGGTCCCGCTGCCCCAGGGGCGCACTGACCATGGCCAAGGCCACCAGCAGCCTCTATTTCTCTGTCTGATGCGTTACAGGGGAGACCACACGACCACAGTGCCCCAGCCCCCCAGCCCGGATGCAGGGTGGGGGGCACAGGGACCCCCCGCCACTCTGTGCCCCGAGCAGGTCAGGAAGCAGCCAGGGCGTCGCCCCACTCAGCCCTGCCCACAGCCCCCCACCATCTACCCCTCCCCAGAGTCCCTCCACGCTGGGGCTTCCTCCCCCTCAAGGGCTTCAGCCTCAGGGGCTTCCTCTTCCTCAGAGGCATCACTATCGTGGGCTTCAGCCTCGGGGGCTTCTTCTGCCTCCACAGCCTCAGCACTGGGGGGTTCCACCTCGGGGGCTTCGTCCCCCTCCGTGCCTCCATCCTCAGGGGCTCCAGCCTGGGCAGCTCCAGTCTCAGGGGCTGCCTGCCCTGGGCCGCTCACCCCCAGGTGCCCCCTGAGCATCTCCGTGCCCTCCTCGGGCACAGCCTCAGACCCTGCCCGAGGCTCCAGGGGGGGCTGCCCCGGGGGTCCCCGCTCAGGTGCCAGCAGCTCGTGGGGGTCCAGCAGCCCGTCCCCATTGCGGTCCTGCCTCGCCAGGGCTCGGTCCACCAGAGCAGCCACCTGCAGGGACAGGGGATGGGGGTGAGGGCCCGTCCTGGGGGGCTCTGTGGGGTGCAAGGGACCGTCCCTGTGGGACCCACCGTGTCGGGGTCCGGCCGCCCCCCGGCCTGTGCCAGCACCGTGCCCAGCAGCTGCAGCAGCTCCAGCCCGTCCAGGTGCCCGCTCCGGTCGTGGTCATGGAGCACGACGAGGTAGAGCAGGGCTGTGGGGCACAGAGGCACTGTGGGGCTGGGGTCCCTGACCCCACCGGCCCCTCGGCCCCCCCCGTCACACCACATGGCCTCACCCTGCTCCCGTGGCATGGCCTCCACGTCCCGCTCCGGCAGCCCCAGGCTCCGCACCGCGCCCCGCAGCAGCCTGGGGGGAGCAGGGCCGGGGGTGGGCAACACCGCCCGTGCCCCATGGCCCACCCACCCTGTCCCATGAGCAGCTGGGCACTGCCCGGGGCCCCCACCCATTGCTGTCCCCCCTCAGAGCACAGCCCCAGCCGGGGTGGGGGTCCCGGTGTCACGGGGCTCTCCAGGGCAGGGACTCACGGCAGCAGCGGCAGCTCCGGGCTCAGCGGGTCGGGATTCACATCCAGGAGCGTGGCCAGGGGGGGCTCGGGCCTGGCCAGAGATGGGGGGTTACCTGTGCCCCTGGGGGGGCTGCCCGTGCTGGCCTGACATCCCCCTAACCATGGCCCCCACAGCCCCCTTAGTCCCGCCCCTCACCGTGCACCCCCGGACCCCTGTGCCCACCCACAGCCACACGCCCCCTCCATACCTGTGCCCCCCTCATGCCCAGGTGCCCATCAGCTCCCACGCACCCCACCCGCACCCCTATGAACCCCCCCCGTCTCTGCCTGCCCTGAACTATGTCCCCCCATTCTTCTGCCCTCCACCTGTGCCTCCCACACCTGTACCTCACGCTTGTACCCCCCTACCTGTGCCCCCCACACCTCTACCCTCCATACCTGTGCCCCCACACCCTGCATACCTGTACTCCCATATCTGTGCCCCCAGACCTGTACCCCTATACCCATACCCTCCATACTTGTACCCCCCCCCCCACACCTGTACCCCCATACCCTCCATAACTGTACCCTCCATACCTGTACCCCCACACCTGTACTCCCGCACCCGTACCCTCCATACCTGTACCCCCCTACCTGTGCCCCCCCGCCCTGGGGGCAGCCCGTGCCACCGGCCCCAGCAGCAGCAGCAGCAGCAGCACGGTCAGTGTCACCGGCGGGTTCCTCATCCCGCCACCTCGGGCTGCAGTGGAACGGGAGTGGCGGGGTCGGGGCCGCGGGAAGCCGGCGGTAGGAGAGGAGCGGGGGGGCTCCGGGAGCTGCCCCGGTCCCGGCGCGGCGGGGACACGCTGGCACGGACGGGAGGGCGCACAGGACAGCGGGACCGCGCACGGGACCGGCTGGCGCTGCTCACCCAGCGCACGGCCCCCCGACACCCCCAGCCCGGTGCCCCCGGTGCCCACTCGCCCAGCCCCGCTCGCCTCTCGGTGCCGCCCGCCCCGCGCCGGGGCCACGTCGCCGCCACGTCCCGGCCCCGCCACCGGGCCCAGGAGCGGCCCCGCCCGCCCCGGGCCCTGCCCTGCCCTTCTCGGGGGGGGTTCGGCACCACGCGGGACGTCCCGGGGCAGCTCCGGGGCAACCAGGATCCGGCGCTGCTCAAGCGGGGCCAGGGACGGGCGGGGCGGAGAGATGCGGGCGCGGTCACGGCACGGGCGGGGCCGTCCCGGTGGGTGAGACCCCCCCAAAGTCCCCACGGCCCCAGGTACAGCCGGGCCAGCCCAGCACTGACCCACGGACCCCCGCACCAGCACCACCGAGGGCCTGGGTCAGCCAGTGCCAGTTCCTGCTCGATGTGGGGGGCTCCGGGAAGGTCCCCCGAGGGCACGGCCAGGCCCCCCCGAGGGCACGGCCAGGACCCCCCCGAGGGCACACGTTCTCCCGGACTGTGACCAGTGCAACGCCCCCAGCCCGGCCCCCCTCCCCCGGCACAGACACAGCACTGCCTTCATGCTCCAGTTTAATGGCCACAGTGGGGCGGGGGGCCAGCAGGACACTCTCCTTCTGGGGCAGGGGACCCCCGTGTCCGGCAGGCCCCCCAGTCCCAGGGCTGGCCCCGCCCCGCTGCCAGCACAGTCCCAGTGGGCCGGGCCGGGCCCCGGGCGGCTCCCCGGCCCCTCCTGCACTCCCCGAACACCAGCGGGGGCGTGGGGCCGGGGCTGGTCCCTTTTCCGTTTCACAGTCTGTGGGGAGGGGGTGTCGAGGCCGGGGGGGGGGTTGCTCCTGGCGCCGAGGGGTCCCCTCCAGGGGCCGGGGGGGGCTACAGGAAGCCCGGGAAGGCAAGCTGCAGCAGCAGGATGGTGGCCACGATGAGCCCGGCACAGAGCAGCAGCAGCAGCCAGACCGGGAGGGAGCCTGTGGGGCAGAGACGGGTGAAGGGGGGCTGCAGCCCCCCCGTGCCACGGGAGGCACCCCAGCCCCCAGGCAGCCCCCAGGCAGCCCCCCAGCAGCCCCAGGACGTACGTCGGGTGGGCAGCAGGTGCAGCTTGCAGCGACTGTCCACGGCCACGCTGAGCAGGGCGGCCTCGTGGCCCCCCAGCAGCTCCCGCCCGGGCTGGCTCTCGGGGACAAAGGCCACGTCGGTCACCACGATGCCGTGGGCCTCCTTCACGTAGTACAGCCTCTGGGGGGGCACGGGGGGGGGTGAGAGGGCAGCTGGGGGGCACTGGAGCTGCCCCATGGCCCTGCCCAAGCTCACCTGCAGCGAGAAGGCGATGTGGATGGCCACGGAGCCCGTCACTGTGCCCAGCCCCAGGAACGTGCCCGAATCGCTGCGGGGGGAGAGGGCGGTGAGCTGGGGCTGCCACAGCCCCCCTCCTCCTCCCCCCCGGCCCCGGGGTACCTGACGGAGAGGCAGGAGATGACCTCGGAGCCGCAGGGCCGTGTCAGCAGGGGCAGGAAGTTCTTCCCGTCCCACTTGGTCAGGTAGCAGGGCGGGGGGCGGCGCTCCCGCTTGTGGGGCACCTGCACCGTGTAGAGCCGCAGCGCCCCGGCACTGTCCTCCACCGCCCCGAACCTGCCAGGGGACAGTGGCCATGGGGCACGGGGGGCATGGGGGGGGGCACAGGGCACAGGCTGTGGCTCCCCTGGCATCCAGCCCCCTCCCCAGTAGAGCAGCAGAGCCCGGGGAACCCTTCCCTGCAGACCCAACCGGGACAGGGCTCAGTACAAGGCACCAGCTGGGGGTAGCCCATCCCAGCCCCAGTGGCCCATTCCCAGCTCCCTGCTCCATCCCAGCCCCAGTGGTCTGTTCCCAGCCCCCTGCCCCATCCCAGCCCCAGTGGTCTGTTCCCAGCTCCCTGCCCCACATCCCATCCCCAGCGATATGTTCCCAGCTCCCTGCCCCATCCCATCCCCACTGGTCTGTTCCCAGCTCCCTGCCCATCCCAGCCCTCACCGGCAGGCCTGGTAGCGATAGGCCTTGTCGGGGATGCCGGGCAGGTTCTCGTGCCAGCGCAGCCCCGTCACCAGCTGGTCCTGCTGCCACACGCAGCACTGGAAGTCCCTCCCCGCCGTCACCACCTGCCACACACGGCACAGGGGGTCAGATGCTGCTCTTCTGCAGGGCCGAGGGGCCACAGGGCTGCCCGACACTCACCTTGTTGTCAGGGCCGAGCGCGATGTCCTCGATCTCCCCGTCGTGGGCTTTGAACTCCAGCATCTTCTTCATGCTGGGGAACTGCGGGGGCAGAGCCGGTGAGGGCGCTGGGCAGGGGCCGGGCCCCGCTGCAGCCCCGGGCAGGTGTGTGGGGGGGAATCAGAGTTAGGGAACTGATGCTGATCCAGCCATCCCTGCCCGACACGCGCTGCCACCAGCACGGCAGCGCAGGGCCTCCGCTTCCCTGTGCCAGCCCCCCGTGCCCACCTCCCTTCGCCTGTGCCCCCCTTGGCTCCCCGTGCCCCCCTCGGCTCCCCTATGCCCAACTGCACTGTCCTGCCCACCCCAGCCCCCCTGCCCACCCCAGCCCGCCCCGTGCCCACCTCCCAGAGGCGCAGGAAGCCGTCAGCCCCGCCGGTGGCGAGCAGGGCGCCGTCGCTGCTGAAACTCACGGCCTTCTGCAGGGCATCGGCGCTGAAGTCGGTGCGCACGCGGTGCAGGCTCTCCACCCTCACCTCGCGGGGCCGGCCCTGCGCGGTGCTGTCCCCCGGGGCCCCCCCGCCGGGGCCGCGCCGCCGCCGCACGCCCTTGTCACCCCCGCCTGCAAACCAGGACACGGGGCTGGCACGGGGGGCACGGGGAGGGCAGTGCCCGTCCCCACGGCACCCCACACGCCGCCCCATGGCACCCAGGGCAGCTCCGGTACCCAAAGCCCCCACGGCACCCAGGGCATGCACGGGGGGTCCAGGGCAGCTCCCGTACCCAAAGCCCCCACGGCACCCAGGGTGGGCACAGGGAGGGATCCAGGGGGGTTCCAGGGCACTGCCCATCCCCAAAACACCCCAGAGACCCCCCCCCCCAGCTCCCCACGCCCTGTCCTACAGCACCCAGGGCAGGCACGGGGGAGATCCAGGGTGGGCATGGGGGGGGGTCCACAGCTGAGCCCCATCTCCAGAGCACTCCACAGCCTCTGCCCCACGGCACCCAGAGTAGAGAGAAGGGGGGGTCCAGGGCACTGCCCATTCCCAAAACACTCCCCAGCCCCCCACATCCTGCGCACATCAGCTGGGATGGGTCCAGGGAGGGGTCCAGGGAAGGTACAGGGGGGTTCCAGGGCAGTGTCCCATCCCCAGAGCTCCCCATGGCACCCAGGGCAAGCACAGGGAGGCAGGTCCAGGACAGGCATGCAGGGGTTCAGGGCAGTGCCCCATCCCCAAGCCACCCCACAGACCCCCAGCTCCCCACATCCTGCCCCGCTGCACCCAAGGTAGGCACGGAGAGGGGGATCCAGGGCGGGCATGGGGGTGTCCACAGAATGCCTCATCTCCAAAACACCACCCAGCCCTCCACGCGGCACCCAGGGCAGGCATGAGGGGGCAGTCCAGGGCAGTGCCCGTCCCCACATCCCCCCAGCCCCAGGGCAGGTGCCCCACGCCGCCCCCGGTGACTCGGGCTCTCACCGTCGCGCCCGGCGGCGCCCGGGCCCTCGGGCTCCTGCAGGGTGAAGCGCAGGATGTGGCAGCTGTTGTCCTGCCCGGCGGCGATCACGTCCCCGGCCAGCGCCATGGTCATGGTGGCGCGGGTCTCGGTGTCGTGGCAGTGCAGCAGCGACGCGCTGAGCTGGCCCCCGATCTGCTCCAGCTGCAGGAAGTGCTGCGGGGCGGGGGGGGGGCTCAGCCGCGGCCCCCGCCGGGCTCTGGGGAGGGGGTTCCCTGGGGACACCCCCTCCTCTCTGGGCCTCCCCGTGAGCCGGGCCACCCAAACCCCGCAGCCCCCGCTCGCTCAGACCCGGCCCCCGCACACACCCGGGTCCCTCAGACCCCCCCGGTGCTCAAACCTCCACCCCCCGCGCTGCGGCCTGGCCCGGCCCCCCAAGCCCCCCGTCCCCACGTTCAGATTTGCCCCCCCCCCCCCCC